TCTTCATTGACTTTCGAGGCGCTATAATACACTTTATTGAATTCTGATCGGACATTTTCACCACCATATTAAAGAGCATATTAAATACTATCATGACACTCCGCCACAGCCTTCTGGACGAGCGCCATCGAGAGATTCTGGCACGCGACCGCTGAGATCAGCGAGATAGTCGATTTCTCCGCCACCGTAGACCACCCTATTGAACTCCGCCCGAACCGGGTAATTGAGGGGATTCAGGTCAGGTGACCTACTTGGATATCTTCTTTAGGTACTCAGCCCCCTTCCATTCCAAGTAGGCGAGAGTTTCTCCAACGCCCTTCGATTCCATGTGGTGGCACCCAATGCTGTAGCAGTACAAAGTTTCCAAGAAGGTACGGGCGACGACATGTGAGGAGGATATTCTTCACGAGTTGCTCAATGTAACCGCCAGCGCTCACCTTCAGTCCGGGGTCCACGAAGAAAATATTGGTCTTTCCATTCCAGGTACGTCCGGTCCATACCATCAACCCGCGCCTTGGCGACTGTGGTGAAGATGATGTCCTAGACCGTGGCGACGTTGTCGGAGCTGCTCGATGTTGGAGGTCATCCAGATCGAGAGTACTGGTCTCCAGGTAGCTATCCATGGGTGACTCCATACTAGAAGTTTCGCAGCTGTTTGGAGGTGACATGAATTCCAAAGGTCTTCTCCAGTCAGGCTGCGACTGGAGATGACTTCATATTTTGGTGTACATGAAGGTGATGGGCGAGAGCCAGCTCCTGCTTATAGAGGAACATCTTGGGTATCTTCCGCCCTGGTACTCGTATCCACGTCCTCTGTCTGGGCAGCGAAAACTTTGCTGATATGTGACTCGGTCGAAGTGACTTTTTTGCCCCCCCCCCTGTATATCTGCGTTCACTTTTTGCAGCAGCCCCACCAGCGACCGCCAGCCTCTGCCTGCTACCAGGAGATCGGTACAGTGTAGTAGCACGGTGCGGTTGCACGCGCCGCAAGTTCTCTGCTCTAGCCGGCTAGATCGATATCCACACTGTCCCAGTCCTTCGACGCTGATGGTCGCTGACGGAAGCTGATAGACGGTGCCAGACGCTGCTGTTGGCCAACCCAATATCTATACTTTTCTGACTGCTGACGCTGACAGACGCTCGAAACGATGGTGGACGCTGCCGCGAAGTATGAACGCATCCCATGAGATTTGTTCGCTCTAGTTAGCGAGCCTGAAGGACATTTGACACACTCATTCAAAACCCTACTGAATTAGGCTGCGTTTATACTTTGCGGCAGCGTAGCGTAGCGCTTCCAGCGTACGCCAGCGGCAGTGCCGAAGAGAGGATGCATATCGATCTAGCTTCACCAGCGTCACCAGCGGCACGCTGGCGTAGCGAGGGCACGGGAAGCATAGCTATCGATCTAGCTTCACCAGCGTTTCTCCAGCGTTTTCCCAGCGCTTCCAGCGACGGGGCTAGAGAGGGGCTAGAGAGCACTGGACGGAGGAGAGTACAAAGTACTCTCCTCCGTTCAGTGCTCTCTAGCCCCTCTCTAGCCCCGTCGCTGCAAGCGCTAGCGGGGCTAGAGAGCACTGAACGGAGGAGAGTACTTTGTACTCTCCTCCGTCAGTGCTCTCTAGCCCCTCTCTAGCCCCGTCGCTGGAAGCGCTGGGAAAACGCTGGAGAAACGCTGGTGAAGCTAGATCGATAGCTATGCTTCCCGTGCCCTCGCCTAGCGTACGCCAGCGTGCCGCTGGTGACGCTGGTGAAGCTAGATCGATATGCATCCTCTCTTCGGCACTGCCGCTGGCGTACGCTGGAAGCGCTACGCTACGCTGCCGCAAAGTATAAACGCAGCCTTATGTGTTCTCTAGCAAAAGCGTTGTACATTCCGAAAATCGAAGATATTCTATTTTCCATCCAATGTTTTGATTTCGCAAACAGCTCGGTGTTGAGGAAAATACTGTCGTCATACTGAAACCAGTTGGTGTCGGCACGGCGCAGGTTTGGTTATAGCCAACCAGTTTTCAATACATCGTTACCTCTCCAGGCGGTTGAAGGCAGTTGGCACGAAAACCCTTTAGAAGGTGTCGAACTAATATCTCGCTGTCTGCGGATGACCAGTTCCAATTCAAACAAGACCGAGTTCACGCTGTAAATGAGAGCAAGAGAGGTGAGCTGAGAGATTTTTCACGTGCTCCACGCTATGTCATCCTGGTCTATTTTTTGGTATGTGATTAGTTTTTTAAGAACATTTAGTATGAGAGACTCCATACCAAATTTAAAAGTAGATAGTAACCCTACAACTAAACGAACTCTGACCTGAACTTTCTTCGAGCTGCAGAAATAACATTTAAACGTACTCTTTTTCCACTAGATGATGCGGATCATCATGCATGCGAAGTTGCTCGTTCAGTTTTTGATGCCAGTGCGAGTCATTATACGGTGAGTTGGGCCCATAGACAACATCCAACTGCTTCGGTGTCATGAACGCATAATCCGTACTTATCCAACTCATCTTTCTGCAATACACTTCGGAACTGAGCCAAAGATGTTCTCCTCTGAGACACAAGTAAACTTCATCATATCCGGTGTTGTGCTTCCCCAAAGCCTCACGGTCTATAAATGTCCAAATAGCAGTGTTTAGCTCCACATTTTATTGAAAAAGGCCAAAAACGCTCAGAAAGCAAAAAAGCCCTGAAGGAAGTCAAATTTATTCATCTTATCACAATTCGCTGCTTGCTACCTTACTTAGGCCTAATTGTGGTTTGTTAATTTAGCTAGATAATATAGATAGATATTAAATGCTCTCAATCTAGCTAAAGCCCATCAATTTTTACGATTTTTCGGCACGATATTTCGGTACTCGATCTAAAGTATTAACACGGCGCTATATATTAAAATGGCGAAAAGAACGAGGTGAAGCGGTCAAAAACCTGCGAAGAAAAGGCTTCACTCTTAATGGCTCAAAAAAATTAGAACGAGGTTTCCGTGGGCGTCTCGCCAATAACCGCTACGGTAGGTACGGCCACAAGTATATTGCCAGATATCCACCCAGCATTGCGGCCGCGTCACGTTGACCCCTTCCCTTCAAACTTTACTTCGTAAATGAGACAATACGAGCATCAGTTTCGGTCGTCCATTTGTGGTTATCGGTGTGGCGGGCGTCCGGGTCGGTAGTTGCGGCGCTACGAAGCGCCTGTTCAAGGGCGCGGAGTTACGTCCTGCCAGGTTATCAGTCCCCTTCCTCTCAGGAATATATCGAGCCAACTACCTTACATGGACTGACACACGAAACTAAAGGATTTACCCTTCCGACCTGAGCAGCCAACCCGTCCACATCTTAGGTAGCGTTCATACTTCAAGACAGCAGCGGCAATCGTCGGTACGCGACAGAGGGCGTCCCCAGCGCCGTCTATTGGTCGAAGTCTTTCAGGAGAAGCAGTTTCGTGCTTTTTTAATTGCGATTGTTTCAGGTATGGAAGCTTGTTTTGACTCAAGTGAAGGTGGACCAAACTTAATAGCTTTCCTTTTCTATTTCCTTTCTCTTATGTTGGATAGAAATTAGTAGAAAGCGTGAGAGGTTCATTTCGGGTGAGTTTCTTGTTGTTTCTTTTCCATACTTTGATATATATGCTCCTTCTTATGTTGCATAAAAGATTGAAGTTTCGATTCCTAGGTGGGTTTCTTTCCGTTTCTTATTTTCGTTGTTTGGACTCGACTTGTAAACTATATATATTCTTGAAAATGGAACAGTGCCAATAGGAAATTTTAAGACACTCATATAAGCTGAACGAATGAGAACAAAAGAAGCAAAAACACGTTCAACTCAAGTATTGGCACGCGAACAGGAAATCTCAGCGCGCAGGACGCTCGGAGATTGCGGATTACAGCGACAGAACCTACGATCAACAGGAAAGGAGAGTGCGTGGCGATAGCGAGAGCTGGCACCTTTTGTGGAGCTCGCGGTCGTTGATCTACGTGGTAAACCTCACTGCTCCGCGGGATCGGAGGTTCAGCTCGGACCTTGAAAATCGATATGGAGGGCGATCACCGGAGAATCTCACCTTCGGGTGGCCTTACAAAAATATTAACCTACGTTATCACTTATGTGGGGAGGGTACGGCGCTTTGAACCGACGCAATTAAACTCATCTTCCCAAAAGCAGTTTGACCCTGTTTTTTGTTCAATACATGTAAAAGCCTCACTGTCAGATCCTTGAGCTCAGGGCGCCGACTGCAAACCACATCTCCTCAAAAGTTTGCCCTGTTCACGATATTTTTATAGACTGCTTGACCTTGAGTTTCACTATGCAATTTGAAATGGGATTAGGACGAATTGTTTCGAAAATAGGTTTCGATTTACAGGCTCTGAAGAAGGCAATACTGCCGAAACGTCGGTCGAGTAAAGGATTTGTAATAATCCCGAAAAAGAAACTGCTCTGGATATTGCTGTCGTCATGCCGAGATTAATGGAGCGTCGTTTGAACTGTATACAAGTTTTCAGCGCAATGGTGGTCCATAGTGCCCTGGGACCGGCGCTAAAGCAGCTTCAGGCCAAGCGGATGTCATATTCGTGTCCAGAAGATTGAAATACTGTTCGATCTGCCTCTTCGGCAAGAAGTCGGCCAAAAATTGGTTTGTTTTCGGAATATCGTGGTAGTAATAGTCGAATAGTGCCAAGAAAACGAATATCATATTCTAAGGGCACCGAATGAAACAAATTTCCTTGAACGTAGTCGTTGCTCTGTTTATTGCTGGCATTAGCCCATACGTGCAGGATATGAGATCGCGTGTGAAGTTTCTGCTAAACTCGACTAATTTCAAAGGTGGGCCTTGGCACGAGCCCCTACCAAAAAAACATGAGAAAGTATTGGACCGAGCACTCGAATTCTGAATGTTCGCGCGCATTCAGCAGTGCATGCGAGCGAGCTATTTCGCGATTCCAGAATAGCTCCGTAAGTACGCTCACACCTACGCGGCGCCCTTGCAATAGTCGCCAGTTAAGTCTCGGACATACTATTCTGCACGAACCTGCGATTTTGTGTACAGCTTGTCGAGCTCCTCGAATGTTTCAATTTTTCGTTTTTCAGTGTCGCCAAGAATCTTGGTGACGTTTTTCTTGGTGAAGTAAAGAGGTGTTCCATCAGGCGCACGTGATTCTTTGTCACGGATCTCTTTCTGTTTCCTCTCCGTCATATCCACGGCATCAGTAACGCCTTCAAGAAAATAGACCTCAAACTCTCGTGATGACTCATCATTATATGTCGAGTGACAGCCATAAATGAAAATCGTCTGCAGTGCCTAACCTGCTGCCTCCACTATAAAGTCAAGCCAAGCCTCTTGGTCCTTGTTGGGCAGCGCTTTCACCAAATTTGCGAGTGACATTGTTTTCTCCACCTCACTCCCCTCATCGTGTATTGAGAAGAGCGAAGGCGAAAGCAAACTGAACTGAAAATATGGTATGAAAATATGACATCGTATATGCGTCATTTACGTGAGTAAATCAACGTCTCATAGGCATTGTACATGGTGATGAAAGAGGGAGTTCAGTAAATGTTATCATGTAAAGCAAAACGAGCAAGCTTTCACAGCAATCAGATTAGTTGAAGAGATGTACAGTTTCCTTGTTCCAGTCAGCACCTTATCATTTGGTATTGTGTTGTCATGAAGTCTCATTTTGGTTCAAGGGTACCTCACTCGATATACTAAGGCTGTATCCTCTGACTTGTGTAGGATGACACGATAGGCCACCGACAAAGACTGTACTACATTCAAAATGTGAAATTTCTGGTAAAAAATCTGGTGGTAGCTGAACACTCCGTCCCAAAAGCACTCCTTAGGCCCATGCCAAGTCCCAGTGACTGCTAGCTACTGGCTAGTGGCCCCTCTGCTAACTCTCTCCATATATTGCTACGCTAGCAACGAAAGGAAATTCCTACAAATATGCCCCTCTTTATCGTATGCACGTGTGAATAAATATCGGCATAGAGTCTTACATTTCCGATGGTTCTTTCTTCTATTCTTCTCTACTCTTCAGGTACCTCAGCCTTTCGTATTTGAGCTCCGATTTCCACCGTCTATGGTTGCGAATTTCGCCTCTAAAGGAAAGTCCGCCGTCCCAGATAGTGTATAATGGAGCTCAGATACGCACAACAATGTAGTAAGTAAAGGAGTTAAGAAGAAAAAACAGTAAGAACCGTCTGGAATGTCCTGTAGGATGCCTCGCCGACGCGAGGTTGCACGTGCACACAGTGAAGAGAAAGCGCTTTTGTAAGAATCACTTGCTGTTATCACATAATCGGCTCTTTTCCATTATCACCTCACTCACCATTCAGAATAGTAAGTGTCAGTAGAGGGCTACTGGCCAGCACATAGAAGCCTCTTCCGAGGTCAGCATGGGCCTGAGGGGTGTTCATGGGCTTAAACCCTCAGCTGATCGGAATTCGTACGAGTTTTTCCTTTCCTTCAGTGCAGTGTTGCCTCCACAGTCGCCTAGCAGATCTAACGCATTGGCAAGCTCATACCATTAATGATTCCGAGTCTTTTTCAAAATGATCTAAGTGTTTCTATCTGCAAAATCTATCCATTGCATTTCAAAGTCTCATTGGACGACAACGTATTTACCGGTACTAGTGCTAGTAGTACTGTAAGACATCCATATCTTCGGCGCTCTTACCGTCAGAATAGATATATGCATTTTGGTATGTATGTGTGTTCATTACTCACCAGATCATCTTGTTCAGGAACTACACTCATGAACCGGGGTGAGAAGAGTTTAAGCGTTTTCTTGTCGAAATTTGTCACGTTTTTCCCAGCAGCTGCTAAGGCGATCTGTAAAAGTAGTTATTTGAGTTGGCATATGAGTTTTATAGGAATCAGAGCTGAATTAAGGTTGTTGTGGGCAGGACGAAATTGGTATTTTGCGCTTGTGGTTAACCATTATCTGCATTCAACAATCAAGAGCCAGTCCTCGTAAGTTGAACTAACTTCTCTGCTAATTGGGAGGAGATCGTTCACCCTCCGGCAGCTGTAGATAAATCGAGATTTAATCAGCAGGCCCAACGAGCTGAGTTGCCTACGGGGTGAGACTGCGCAGCGGAGGCATAGCTCAATTTTTAGATATTCTGTTATACTCAAGTCCATCGGATAAATATGCGCGGTGTAGAGTGCGCCAAAGGCATACGGGACTTATCAGTAATTTAAGGATCTGTCAAGGCATTTTTAGCATTTGAGACCATGTAAACGAACAGCAAGTGTTGAGCGATGGAAGAACTGTTGAGATGGCTGTGACACAAGTCCGCGTGCAAGTAGAAAAGAACAAGCAGAGAAGGGTTCATGTGCAGAAAGTTTGAAGGACAGGTTCGGAAACATATTCTTCCTTGAATCACGAGCCCTTTCGAGCTTCCTGCGTAATAACTATGCTTGTTGGTGAAATGAAAAAAGAAACGACGGCGCAATCAATCTCAAAGCGTGTCCATTGCCCTCTTTTACAAAATGAGCCTTCTAATAGGCTTCACTTTATTGAGGGAAGTTAGAGAAGGAGGGAAGTTTTTGATTCAACTTTGAAGCAGTCTATCAAAGCCTAGCAATAATCTTTTTGCGACAATACTTCAAGGTCCTCTACTGACCTGAGCTTTAATACAGGGGATTATTTACTTAGTTCCCTTATTTCCTGAGCTTCTCTTATTCAATCTATCGTCACTTTTTTAATCTTTACAATTAGCCTCTATGATGCTTTCCATTGGTGGGAATATCCTTTCGGAACCGGAGATGACTCACAAACTTCAGAGGATACAAACTCACCATGGACATTCAGGATGGGATGACTCCTAGAAGCTTCGGACGCTGACAATCTGCTAAACGATTCTAGGAGAGAAGTTACGGACTTTTTGCCTCTGTGCTCAACCATTGCGGGGCGCCCCCGGTCCATACTTTGCTCTTATGAACCCCTCGTACAGAACCACATATGTGGTTTGATGGTGCAGCAGGTAGGTGAGCGAGCTCACAGAGCTGGGACGAGAGTTCGAATCCTCGGTGCGTTTCATGGTTTTGCTTTTTCCTGGAACGTATGCTGAACACTTGGGAAGTAGTTTCAGGTGCCAGTTTTATCATCAGGGCCCTCTCTACGCTCCTTATTGAGCCCTGTGGAATTTCGAAAGATTTCATTTCAATCACCGAAAGCATTGAAGTTGATAGATTTGTGGAAGCCTTGTTTGGGGCATATATAGCTGTAACTAGTAGGGAACATTACGGAACACAAAAAAGCGTGTCGACACGTAGGATGAACTTACAAAAGCTCCAGAGGTGAACCGCTCTAGCTCTCATTTTCTTTCACTTGTTCCCTCGGCACCCTTTACCTTTTACTGCCCGAATCATCCGAAATTTAGCCAGTTTTTTGGCCGACTTTTTTCTACGTGGGCGGAATCGGATAGCAATCTGTCTCCTGGGGTGATTCGACCTGAATATCACATCAACTCGGCACGAAACCCTGAGACCCGCGCCACAGGCGCCGTCGTCAAAATACAAATCATCGGCACCTGTGGCGCGGGCGTCAGGAGGTTTTTGGCCAAGCAGAGTGATACTCGTATTTGGTAGATCAAAATACCCCAGTACACAACACTTAAGCAAAGTCTGCACAAGGGAAAAAAGGCGTCAACTTTTCTCTTTACAGAAAGATTGGAGCAGTGAAGGGTAGATAGTGCCGCTGTCTCAGTTCCGCAAGCGGTATTCGGTAGCAATAAAGCTTAATTTGCTCTCCATGCACGAACATGTGCGACTCTTTCTTGTACACGATCGGCAGAACGCTATGGCTTCATTCCTCACTTGCTTCACCTGGAGCTACGCATACTATGGACTTGTACAAAAGTGAAGCCCTGAGCAATGAGAACTTTCAAACCACCTATTGTAGCGGGACCTTCACATCCCCGGAAGGGATTGAAACCCTCTCAGACGGAAGTCTGGAGGGAACTTTCATCATTGACATTATCATGTGACCAGAGGGGAACACTGGTATTCTTCCCCAAAGCTATCTTTCTCGCAGTCGATTATGAGGTGGTCGCACAGCGCGTGGAGCAAAATGGACCGTAAGTGATGTGTGTCGAAGAGAACTGTTGCAGAAGTCGAAGTCCTGCGTTACCCAAACACGTGGTGTTTACCAAAATAGGAAAAAATTTCGGTCGAGTGCTTGAGCAGATATGAAGGTGTGCATGACCTCCTGCTTGAGTGAGTTAGGTGAGACTGCAGTCCCTGCATAAAGTCATCCATGGGGCCCAATAAGGAGCACAGCGTGCGCCCCTGATGATCGCTGGCACCTAAAACTACTTTTCAAGTGTTCAGCATACGTTTCAGGAAAAAGCAAAACTACAAAACGCACCAAGGATTCAAACTCTCGTCCCAGCTCTGTGAGCTCGCTCACCTACCTGCTGCACCATCACCACATATGTGGTTCTGTACGAGGGGTTCATAAGAGCAAAGTATGGACCGGGGGCGC